TAACATCATCAAAATGTCCATACTACCCAAAGCAATTCATAGATTCAGTGCAATCCCTATTAAAGTACCAATGGAATATTTCACAGATATAGAACAAACAGTTCAAAAATTTATATGGAACCGTAAATGAGCCCAAATAGCTGCTGCAATTTTGAGAAAGAAGAGCAAAGTAGGAGGGATCACAATACCTGATACCAAACTGTATTACAAGGTCAGTGTAATCAAGACTGTGTGGTACTGGCATGAAAACAGACAGACAGACCAATGGAACAGAACAGAGAGCCCAGAAATAAAACCAAGACTCTACAGCCAATTAATTTTTGACAAAGGCGGCAGCAGCATAAAATGGAGTAAAAATAGCTTCTTCAAAAAATAGTGCCAAGAGAGCTGGACAACTAAGTGCAAAAAAGTGAAACTTGATCTCCAACATACACCATATGCAAAAATAAATTCAAGGTGGATAAAAGATTTAAATATGAGCTGTGACATCATTAAAGTCCTAGAGGTAAACATAGGCAGGGAAATCTTAGATATTTCATGCAGCAGCATTTTCATGATATGTTTCCTAAAGCTAGATGCATAAAGAAAGAATAAACAAATGGGATCTCATCAAGATAAAAAGCTTCTGCATGGCTAAAGGAAACAGTATTAAAGTAAAAAGAGAGCCAACCATGTGGGAAAACATATTTGCCAATGATACCACAGACAATGGTTTAATCTCCAAAATATTTAAAGAACTTACACGACTCCACTCTAAGACGACAAGCAACCCAATTAAAAAATGAGCAAAGGACTTGAACAGACACACAGAGGGTCTAGAGACACATGAAAAGATGCTCAGTATCACTAGCTATCAGAGAGATGCAAATTAAAACCACAACAAAATGCAACCTCATACCAGTCAGAATGGCCATCATAAACAAAGCAAGAAACAAGTGTTGGAGAGGTTGTGGAGAAAAGGGAAACCTAGTGCATTGTTGGTGGGATTGCAGACTGGTGCAGCCACTCTGGAAACCAGTATGGAATTTCCTCAGGAAACTAAAAATGGATCTGCATTTTTTACCCAACAATTCCACTGCTAGGATAATATGTTAAAAACCCTGAAACACCAATCCAAAAGAACCTATGCACTCTAATGTTCATAGCAGCACAATCTACAGTAGCCAAGTACTGAAAGCAACCTAGGGGCCATCAGTAAATGAGTGGATCAAAAACTATGGTACATTTACCCAATAGAATTCTGTGCAGCAGAAATAAAAAAGCTTCTACCCTTTCCAACAGCATGGATGGAACTGGAGGGCATTTTGCTAAGCAAAATAAGCCAGGCGGTGAAAGACAAATACCATATGATCTCACCTTTAACAAGAACCTAATCAACAAAACAAACAAACAAACAAACAAACAAACAAACAAAATATAACCAAAGACACTGAAATTGAGAACAGGCTGACAGTGACCAGAGAAAACAGGGGAGGGAATTTTAAGGGAAAGGGTGAAGGGTTTGCAGGGTCAAGTAAAAGGATACATAGACAACAAGAGGGGGGTGGCAACAGGAGGGAGGTGTGGAGGGCTGGGAGAGAAGGCAGAAAACTGTACTTGAACAACAATTAAAACTTTAAAAAATACAAAGGAGAAAACATAGAAAGGCAATAGTATGATATCTTTCAAGTTCTGAAAGAAAAAAGTTGTCAACCCAAAATTCCATATCCACTGTAAATATTTTTCAAAACTCAGGAGAAATTAGAACTTTTCACACAAGCAAAAGCAGAGAATTCATTACTAGGAGTCCTACACTATAAGAAACATTACAGAAAGTTATTCTGACTTAAGGAATATCACACCTAGGTAGAAACTTGAATCTACCCAAAGAAATGAAAATTCCAGAAATAGCTCGAATGATTATAAACACATTTTTCTTTCTTTTTAAAAAATATATTGATAAAATATATACTTATTGACCTGGAGGGGTTTTTTAAGATTTTTATTTATTTATTTTAGATAGAGGGGAAGCGAGGGAGAAAGAGAGGGAGAGAAACATCAATGTGTTGTCCCCTACTGGGGACCTGACGGGGTCAAAACCCAGTCATGTGCTCTGACCTGGAATCAAACCAGTGACCCTTTGGTTCAGAAGCCGGCACTCAGTCTACTGAGCCACCCCAGCCAAGGCTGGAGATGTTAAGTACACAATATAATATAAGTTAGAATATAAACTCTATTCCACAATTTTAAAAGTGATCATCTCTGGGCATAATATTGGTATTAATAAAATTACCTAATCTGAGGAATTTATTAGGTACAAATTCCTGAGTCCTCACACTCAGAGACCTCCATTCAGTATTCTCCACAATCCCCAGACCACACATCTCCCCAAGGTAATTGTTATACATAGCTTGGTTCTTAATTTTCTTTTTAGTTGCTTTAAATGGTAGTTGAACAAATAAAAATAGTAGTGTTGCATATAGGAAACAAAGTAGTACTATGGTATTATATCTTACATAAAAGCAAAACATATTAACAACCATAACCATAGTACACAAGCTGGCACACCATACATGGTAGTAGTAGAATATTATTTGAAGATTTGTACTGTGTAACTTAAGATGTATATTGAAAAATCTTCATTCTGGTGGTAGTTACATGACTGATTGTCTCCAAAGTAATAAAATTGTACACTTAAAGTGGTCAGTTTTACTGAATGCAAAATGCAGTTAAGTCCTCACTTAATTTTTTGATAGGTTCTCAACTTCTGAAGAAATTACATATAATGGAAACCAATTTTACATAGGTTAATTGATACAAACAAGAGTTAAGTTCCTATGGCATCTCATCAACATTATAAGGAAATGCCATTAATAAAACATCATTACTTGAGGACCTGCTGTATACCTCAATAAATCCAAGTTTCAAAAAATGAAATATGCACAACTCACCTTTTTACCCTCTTGATTTTTCTTGTTTTTATGGCATCACAGCTCTGATGATGACTGATGATGAGAAACCATCTTTTTTGTGCTACCTCACGTTATTTTTTCCTTTTACCTTTTATAAAGTGAAGTTTTTATTGTTAAGATATGGTGGAGTAGAGAGTTCCAAACCTTTGAATAAAAATAAGAATACACACACACACTCTTAAACACCCTCCCCCCAGGAATTACAGTACATAAAGATCCATGGAGATCATAAATGTGCCATAAATAAGAGGAATTTCTATGTGTAAGGTATAGGTAGTTATGCACAACATGGTAAAAATTCACCTAGATCACACAAATGTTAAATAATCATTCAGTCTGAAATGTAACTGAGGTAACATAAATATATCTTTCTATCCGTATCACATCACTGTATATAGCTCACGGGTTCCTTTAATAGGGAAGGATAAAATGGTTTGAAAAAACTTAGTCATGAATATTGGCCTTTTCTCTGTTGCCTATACTCAGCGAAGTTCTTTCTGCTTTTAGGACCTTTCCACAATTCTCTTTTCCCTACTAATCAAATTTCATTCTATAAGCACCTTTGCACAAATTTTAAGGATCACCACATCCCAACCTGGATAGACAAATTAGAAAAGAAACCCTTTCCAGGAAGTTGCAGTCTTTAAGAACTTTGTTTTTAGATTTTTAATTATTTATTCTTTAGAGAGGGAAGGGAGGGAGAAAGAGAGAAAGAGAAAAACATCAATGTGTGGTTGCTTGGAGTCATGGCCTGCAACCCAGGCATATACCCTGACTGGGAATCAAACCTGTGACACTTTGGTTCGCAGCCCGCGGTCAATCCACTGAGCTACGGCAACCAGGGTGGAAGTTGTAGTCTTAAAGTACAAGTCTTGGCAAGAGGAGAGCACCATTGTCTGAACTGGAAATGAGCCCCTTCTGGGGGACCTATTTTAGGATACCTCTACACAACCCTAATATAGAGAGTCTGTGGTCAGTCTACAGTAAGGATCAACCTAAGGACAGCCATATGTTTTTGAGGGGCAGGCCTGGAAAAGAGGAACACTGCATTTGTACAGAAACCAGACAAGATTGAGAAAATGTCTATTCCTCATATTAGAGAATGGGGGAAGGGCACCGGATTAAGGTAATAGGGCCACTAAAGCACCCCCAACTCCAAACCAGCCTCTAACCTGCCCTGCCTCTGCCCAGAATGCATCAAAGTCATCCTCCATACTAGGTTTTTGCTTAGATATTTCATATTTGGTCTCCTGGTATCAGTTTACCTAATATTTCCCCAAGGAGGCCCATGCTTATACTTCAATATAAAATAAGTTCTCCTGTTGTATGCTTTTATATCCCCAGGAATTTTCTTACAGAGAATGTATTACAATTGCAAATATATGGTTGTTTACTTTTGTGGTTACTTATATATGTGCTTTCCCCACCCACCCCACACATAATCACAATTAATCATTCACATATTTCTGTACCATAAGACCCAGAAGAACAGAGACCATCTGTTTTGTTCATTACTTTATCTCCAGAGACTAAAACAGTGCCTAGCACATACTGGGTGCTTAATGAATAATCACTAAATAAATGCAGAGGTTTTCTTTGTTAGATTCTTTGGCAAAACCTGTCACACACATGTGCACACTCATGTACACAGTTTGATATAGAATGTTATGGAAACTTTCCTTTTAGCAACATTCAGTTTAAAAGTTGAATATGAGTAATTAGAGTGGTATAGAAGTATAATATAAAACAAGTGATATTTTTATTTTGGTATATCTTATTTGAATTAGTTTCCTTTTCTATTGGTGATTTTATTAATTCTCTGTTAATAATTTTTACATCCTATATTTAGTTGGTTGGTTCACTATAGACTGCCAATCCATTCCTTTTGTAATAGTTGTCACAGATGTCACTGAGCTATCTTAATGTAATTCATCTCTCAAAGTTAAATGTAGTATTTTTGGCATCTGATTTGCAGTGTAGGGTTTTGACTTGCAGTCATTGCTATTATTAGAAAAGTGAGAATTTAATGCATAATCTATCTCCACTTACCAAATAGATTCTGCCATAAGTACCTAGGCCAATGGTTTTATCCAGTGAGAATTTTCCAGTTGGATCCTGAAAACATGTAGAACAAAAATTGTCAATTTTCTTGAAAAAAATAGGCAAGCATTCAACTATCTAGAGTGATATATCTAATCTGCCCTGCTTCCTTAGAATGGGAAGAACCTAAGTGTCATTGACCAAAAGAAGAGACATATCACTATTTCCCTGGACTAAATGTAGTCCTTTATTTAAATAAAAAAAAACAAAAGTAGTTGCATATTAATTACCATGAAACTGTAAAATGCATAGTTATGTGTAGTTGAGATATATGCATAACATAATTAGAGACAATATTAAAATAGAAATAAGTTCATTTACTTGCAATTAAAATATTCTTTTAATATCCATTTTTGGGGTGCTAACCAAACAGGCAGAAGGTTTAGGTTACAGCAATGATGAGTACATATTGGATTTATAAACCATATAGTTTATGCATATAATTATAATTCTCAAGAAATAATATCATCTCTAAATAAGAATAACAAAGCAAGATTATGGCACTAAAAGTTTATCACTTAAAAAACTAGGCCTAATTGGTATTGTTTGTTTTTAAATTAATCTTTGCATATCTTTTCATGTCACAAATTATCTGATCTTTTCTTTGTCTTAAGCCTAAATATGGTATCACAGAACACAAAGTATAACATATTTATGGGTAAATTCCAAAGGCTTCTATTCATACTTGAACATTGTTTCCTTACCTTAAAATATGGATATTTCTTTCTTGTTCACCACAAAACATTTTTCTGAAAAATTTTATCACTACTTAAACTTTTAGCTTAGCAGCTTATTTTGTTATTTTATCAAAACTTAGGTATGATTATGTGCAAGTTTATACACAAAGTTGTAGCAGTGCTGGCAAATTCTAGAAAATTCATGTGCATTATAAAAACCACATTTTGCACTGGCTGATGTGGCTCAGTGGATTGAATGTCAGCTTGTGAACCAAGGGGTCACTGGTTCAATTCCCATTCAGAATAGATCCCTGGATTGTGGCCTAGTCCCCAGTTGGGGGTGTTTGAAAGGCAAACACACATTGACGTTTCTCTTGCTCTCTCCCTCCCTCCCTTCCCCTTTCTCTAAATATAAATAAAATCTAAAAATGCATCATCAAAATCAATGTCACAATATGCACAGTATCATTGCAAATAAATAGTTCAGAAAATATACTCCCAGTGAAAATTCAAAAGTTACTTAAAATAATCATTTTGAGGATTCAAGAGAAGTAAAAATATGTTGTTATAGTGGGAGTAGTATCAAACATATCATTGTTTTTATAGCTCACTGAAGAATTCATGAAAAAAAGAGCCAGAGGAGTTTCTAAGTTTTAATTTGAATATTTTATTACTTTAGCATATTTCTCTGAAAGACATCAATGAGGAATTTATATTAGAAATTATTAATTCTGGAGAAAGAGCATCTGGCCAACTGTCAAAATAATCTAATATGCTAACTAATTCCTTTGGTAAATTATTCTTTGTTATAGCTAAGACTGCATTGTAGATGAACAAAATACAATACATTAGAGAATTACTGAATTATCTGAATTTTATTTCTAAATCTTCTGAATCTTTGAACATAAACACCTTAAATTTCTTTAATCCTTTTTCTATCCATCAATGATGTAAGTACCTTGCTCATAAATTTCAAATTCAGGTATCTAATTACTAAATAAATAGACCAAGAAAAAGCACAATAAAATACATATGGAATTTTTGATGGTCTTATTTTATCCATATTTATGTTGTATAGAGAATTTGTTCTGTTCACAAATAACCAAAATATTTTAATTCTCCTCATGCTCACATTTAATTTTTTAAAAGTTAAAAAAAATGTTTTGTTCTTTAAGGCAGTTCAGCATAGTTTTCATCTGTTTTAAGAGTATTTTTCATTGGTTTTATGAGGTGTTTTTCATCCCCCATCTTCACACTAGTATCTTTCAAGACTAAATTATTGTTAAACTGTGGTGGGGGGGAGAACTATGCTAATTACCATGGTAAGATTACTCACTTTCTTTTGTCAAATTTCACACTGAATTATAGTCAAAGAAAGTTTGTTCTGGGCTCCCAAGGAATGAAGCATTAAAAGGGAACTACTGTTTTTGGTCACTGTGAAATTAAAAAGTCTGTCTACATCAGGGGGGTCTGCACAATTATTTGGTCTTCTCCTCTGGTCTGCCACTCCAAGATAAGAAAACCAGAAGAGAAAAGATATTTATATCTATGACTGCTATATCAATTTGGAGATTATTTGGTGGTTTGCCATACTTTGGTGTTCCATTTGGTTTAAAAAAAAAGGATTCATAATCAAAGAAACCCCAATTTGTAAAAGTTTTTCTCAAAATAAATTACAATATTTTTGAAACATAAAATGTTGGGAAATACTTTATACTTTTTTTGTATTTTTCTATGTGTGTAAATTACCTGCTACAATTTATAAGTCCTAGACTGGTTGTCCCCCTGACACATAGTATTTTGGGGACTTGTTTCTGTCTTCTGAATTCAAGAAGAGGGGAAAAGGATAAGCACCTTGATGGATAATTTTATTAAGGGGAGGGTTGAGGGTAACAGGAAGAAACAGAGCCACTAGAAGGCAGTGTTTACTGATTGTGGAAAAGACTCAGACGCAGAGGCTGACTGACAACCAAATATGGCAGAAATTAAAAACAACAGGGAACTATTAAATGTTCAATATAGGAAGCAATAAATTTCAGATTTAGGGTAGTAATGAAACAGACCTAGGGAAAACATTCCAGTTGTCCAACAGCTACAGGAAAGAAAGATTGTATACAACCTAGAAGGAATGGCAGAGGCTTCCCTTCTTTTGTTTTAAATATTTAAAAAAATAACAATTTTATTAAAGTCTTTATGGAGAAAGAACCTGAAAATAGAAGATACAGTTACGCTGTAAGTTCCAGAGTGAGTTTCAGAAATAGTTGGAGGAATGGACTTCACAATTCAATTTGAAGATTTAGAGAAATAATCTCTTCTTCTAGACCAGTGTTTCTCAAACTGCAGACTATATAAACCCTTCCTACATGGGATCATCTAGGGAAATTTATTTAAAATACAGATTCCTGTCCCTGCCATGGAATTATGAAATTGGAATTTCTGAAGATGAGTTCTAAGATCCCCAGATGATTCTTGTACACTATTTTTGTGCATTAACACAAAACTCACTGTTCTAGAAAGTAGAAAAGAGTGAAAAAATAGATTGAAATACATTGTCATGCATGTGATGCTCTAGAATACGTGATGGAGGATATCCTGAATGTTTCAATCCTTGTGGACAAGAATGTAAAACTGCTTCAAAAATTTAAGTTTAGGGACTTTGTAAAGTGGGAATGTTCTCATGACTGAGTGTGGAAAACACATTTGGTCTGGGTGTTGGAAGACTGGGAGAGCTAGCATTTATATTTAAACATAAACCTAATGCAATTTAATTTTATTTTATTTTTTAAATTTTAATTGTTGTTCAAGTACAGTTTTCTGCCTTTTACTCCCATCCCAATTTAAATACAGTTTTGGAACCTGTGCTCTTTCAGATCACCTCTGTTGCTAGCGTCCTCCATGCCTGTTCATCCTGACTCCAACATAGATTAGGGCTACACATGGCTATGTCAAATACCAAGGCCACAGCCCTGAGGAATGTCATTACCATACTGGGCACAGAGGACAAAGATGACTATCATAATGAAGATTATGACAGATTTGGAGATAAATACTTTCCACTTACAAGGATTTAGTGATATAGGCATTGTGTGTGCATGTGTGTGTGTGCACACACAAAACTCCAGGTATTGCTGGCAAGCAAGGTGGAAAAAATACACACACACACACACACACACACAGATGTAAGTTGTTGCATTTTTTTCAAAAAGAAAACAGAAATCACAAATCTTTGTATTTTTTGTTTTGTTGCCTACAGGAAATATTTATTCAATAGCTAATCTGGAAAAAATTACAGCAACCCAATAAATAACAAACAAAAATGTAGTTGACTTGTCATTTCTGATTATTAACTTGGCTCTCTTTTGTCTCTAACTTTAGGGTATAATGCAAAAAATTATACAATTCCTTCACCCCTTTCCTGCTTCCCTAGGTTTCACTCTTGCTTACTATTTTAGGTTTTTAAAAATACCTACACAATAACAAAAATCCCCCCAAAACCTATCCACCACTTTCTTTAAATCCTAATTTGCACAGCAAGCCTGACCTCTCTCAAAGTTCTGGGTCCTCTTGTCATTTAGCTGGCCAGCCCTACAAAGGACATAATATATCAATCTTAAACCAGGCCCCTATATAATTATTCTATACTCTGCAAGACTTTTTTTCTCAACATGAAACTCTAAGGTCCGAATCACCCCTCATTGTCTGAAAGTTGCCAAATTTGTATAGTTGGTGTTAGCAGATGCCAAATTTCTGAGCTCCCTTTTGAGGAAACTTATGAAAAGGGTTCCCTTCACATGCAGGTTTCTTTGCTTTCTGTATCATCTTTACTTGGGAGCAAGTCTAGTCAGAATATGAAAATTCTGTTCAGAAAGGAAACTACCAATTTAGTTCTACATATTCATGTATGCACTAGGTATGTGCAGTATGGAAAAATATTTAATCATTTAACATTCTGTGACTTTATTTTATGAAGCTTCATCAATAACCACAATGCCTTTGAAAAATCCTATTTTCTCAAAATGCAAACTTCCAAGGAGCTGACTTAGATGTCGTTTGACCTCTTCATTTACTTCTACTTCTTTAGAGACTCAAGAAATAAGTCAAATGCAAAGAAACTCCAAATCACTAAATATAATACCCCAGTGATCAAAGTGGCAGCAAATCATTCACATCCTTAAAAATGTGACATTTAAAAAATTGTAAAGGGGGTCTTACTTTTCTGCTAAATTACTTAGGGTTAGAGCTGGATGTTTGGGAAGGGGATAGTATAAGTTGTTAAGATGAAGACCTTCACAATGAGATATAAAATTACTCCTGTACAATAAAAATTAAGAAATTGTTAGAAGTTAAGGACTTTATGAGACTTTCATGAGGTCTGTAAAATAAGGATAAGCATCAATGCTTGGTTTTGTGTCTTATTCCTACTCCTACATTAAAAACCAACCTTGTCTTTCTCCCCTCCACACCACCATAACCCCCAGAAAACTAATATCCCACTGAACTACACTGTAAAGTTTGCAGCCTTTCTCCTTATCTTCTCTTCTCTCATCAAGTTCTTACATCCCTGGGCCATGACTGGTAAGTTAGTCTGGGCCATTTCCCCCCATTTTGACAATAAAACATTTTCTTCTTTCCTTGGGTTTACAAATTCCTGCTCTATCATTTCTATGAGGTCCTTCCATTCCCCTCTCTAGGCAAGTTTAGAAGAGTTTGTTTCAGTTTGCCCATGTGTGGTTTCACATATTTGCCCTATTTTGCTTTTTTCCTATTTCTCCCATCATACACAGATAATATTGGAGGAGGCTAACATTACATTCATTGTTTTAACACTTTTATTTGGGAGCAAGTCTAGTCAGAATATGAAAATTCTGTTCAGAAAGGAAACTACCAATTTAGTTCTACATATTCATGTATGCACTAGGTATGTGCAGTATGGAAAAATATTTAATCATTTAACATTCTGTGACTTTATTTTATGAAGCTTCATCAATAACCACAATGCCAATATTTGTAATTCAGCATGCTTATTTAAAGGCTAAGAACAATTTGCTAAAATGTTATACATGTGCATTACGTCGTCCTGCTCCATAACATTCTAGTGTAAAATTATTTAGGTGAGGCTTGGATAGTGCCTTGTTTTTGAGGGACAGGCATCTGTCATCATCAAAAAGACAATCTTTAAATGCCAGATATGAATAAAATAAAGGCACTGCATCTTTGAAAAATCCTATAACCTCAAGATTAATATTTAGTTTTTCCCAAAGCAAGATCATTACAGTCCATGCATGCTTATTTCCTTTCAGAGTGTCCAGGGGCCCTTTGCATTCAAGAGAGGGTTCAAGTGAAATAAATGCCAATATAAAAAAAGGGATTTGGTCTGGATCCAGTATCTGCCAGAAACCAGATGCCAATGGAATAAATGGTGCTGCTAAAATAATTAGTTTAGTAATAACAATGGCAATAATAGCTCATCAATCACAACTTTGGAAGAAAGCTGAGCATTCAGAAAAAGGAGAATCCACAAATGAAAACCATGAAAATGGGTTAAATCTGGTGAGCTAGTGAGAGAAACATTTGTTTTTAAATTGGTGTGCAGAATTAAGTTATTTGAGTAGGGTTGAGGTTTTTTTTGCTTCCACAATACTAAATCTGCAACAGTGCTCTGGCAGAATAAGGCTTTAGAAAAGTGTTCTTGGAAAGCCAGACAAGTGAAACTCCAATGCTTTAATTTTCTAGCCTGCTGCCACCTACAAAGTAAAGGTCATTACTCTCTGCTAGGCATCTCTGCTGCAAAAAAAAAAAAAAGAAAAATAAAAGAGGGAATGAAGGGAGGGAGGAAGGGAGGAAGGGAGGGAGGGAGGAAGGGAGGAAGGGAGGAAGGGAGGAAGGAAGGGAGGAAGGAAGGAAGGAAGGAGGGAGGGAAGGAGGGAGGGAAGGAAGGAGGGAAGGAAGGAAGGAAAAGAGAGAGAAATAAAAGAAAACGATGACGGGGTATGGGTGAGAGGAGAGGACTACTTTGAGGAAGCCATGCTTCATCGCCCTCTCTGGCCTCTCCTGGAGCCCAGCTAGGACAGGTACAGGAGCGCCACTGGACAAAACCGGCCACATTTAGAAAATATCCCGCTGTTTAGGGCCTGCATAAGCATAACCTAGTCTCCCTCCTCCACCTTCCCCCGACCCTTTGCCTTTCCTTCAGTTTGCAGCAGCCGGGGAGTCCAGGGGGTGCCTTTTCCACAAGCTTGCTCTCAACCCGCGGTTCCGTTGAAGTTCTAGCCTAGTCTAGCTTTTGGACATCTGTAGCCTCCCGGGGTGCCCAGAACCCAAAGAAGAGAGCACTTTATGGGCCATGAGTTTCTTCTACTCACCGGCAAGTGGCCCAAATCCGTGATCGACTTGTCCCTCCAACCCCGAAGTCCCGCCATGGCTTCAACTTGAATGGGAGTGGGAGACTGATTTAGGTACACTCCGTGTGTCTGACGTTGGGGCACTTAAGAAGTTGAAGGGGTGGGGGGCGGAAGAATGGAGGACGAGGATTTGTGGCGTGGGAGATAGAGGAAGAAAAACTGTAGGGAAAAGAGCTAAGAGTGGAAGAAGCAAGAGTTTGAGATGTGGGAAGGCAAGGCTAAGGTGAGAGAATGGCCTGAGATTCTGTCTCCGAGACCAAGAAGCTAGAGGGACCAAGAAGCTAGAAGGGCACTCCGCTGGCAAAAGCGCATTGTCTGCCTGGGCAGAGCAGGTAAATTTCAGGGTGGGGAGAGGGGCGGTGCAAGGAGGTGGAGGCCACCCCCAGGAGCAGCTCGAAGGGGATTGGTGCAGCGTCACAGTCGTGGGCAGCCCTGCAACAGGGAGGAGGGCTGGGGGCCGGGGTGGGGCACTGGAGGAGAGAGGTGCTGAAGGGCTATAACGATTTGGGAGCCAGCTCCTCGGCCTCCCCCACCCAACTGCCCCCTCCCATCTCCACCACTGCACCCACTCCCCCCGCCCCCGCTGGCCAGTGTTCCACAGGAAACTTTTTCAAGGCAGCTGCCAGCCCCGGAAAACCAGTCCCAACCCGCAACTCTCCCACTCTGGGACCCACAGCTCTGCCACAGTTCAAACAGCCCGCACCCGCATCTCCCCACGAAACCCTTGGTGATTTTTCTAGTTGTCTATTTTGTCTTCTATCCCTCTGATTTTATTGCTCCATTTATTGCAAAGATTCATTAAGTTAGATCAGGAAAGTATTTGCCACTAGGTTGGAGGTCAGACCTAGGCGAGACCCCCTGCGGCCTGGGAGAGAGCTACAAATACGCTGCAGAGCTACCACAGTTCGGCTTTGAAAGCATCTAGCCCAGCGCACACAGCAGCGTAAACAGGTCCGCCATGAAGTCCCCTTGAATCAGGCCTCATCTCTTCTGGCCCGGAGGTAATTGGTACCAGGCCCTGAACTCTCAGTCAGAACCGCACCTGTTACAGGTGCTGGGAATTAAGAGACAAGTCCCGGCTACCCCTGTCCTAGGTTTGCAGTTCACGGTGCTCTCAATGCAGACAGAAAGTCCCTGCGTCCTTCCTGGTCCCCAGCATTCCAGCTGGGTTTCATTCATTCGCTCATTCCTCGCAAAACTTTTCTATGCGCCCAGGCTCTTCGCCTCCATTATCCCACAAAGCACGGAGTGCCCGAGGCACGATATAAAAGAATCTGACAAATGAGATTCACCCTTTTGAAGACTTTATGGGAAAGGGAGTCTGTGCTTAAAACTAAACCCATTCTAAACACTTACTCTGCGAAGAGCACTTTAGAAAATTGGCCCGAAGCCGCTTACTTTCCCTGCAGCTCACAGACCTTTCCCACACCCGCTATCCGGCACTCCAGGGTCAAAATTGATGTGGGACGTTCACTTCCTTTTTCTTTCTTTTTCAATTAAGAAATTTTCACCTTCTCAAGTAATATTTGCCTAGTTCTTCCCAACGACCAGGAGCTCACCATTTCTGACCCACGCTTCTAATTTCTGTAATTATTATTTTTATATATTGGTGGATTTTGTTTATTTCATATCTCTTTTAACTTCCAAGTTTGACCTCGTTACATTCCTTAACTTCAGGTTCAGTGAGCTCTGTAATCACCACAGCCTGTCTGAGGAACCAGGTCTGGCTAAATAAAGAAAATTTTCTCCTAATGGATGTGGAGAAAACCAACTACTACCTCTCCACGAAAAGAAATTCCAGTGTTCTAGATCAAATTTTTAATGTTAATTCAAATATGAATGCAGAAACTATATATTCCAAGAATTCAAATCTTGACAACTCCACTGCACAAATTTTGACCTTTTAAAACACAGTGTAAGATTTCCTGGATGAGCATTAAAACTCTTCTGTATCTTGCTAAATGTAAGTGTGAAATAACATTTCATAACAATCTGACAGTAACCAGAGGGGAGGAAGGAGAGGATAATGGCGGGGGAGGGCTTTCAGGAACAACTATAAATGACACATGGACAAAACCAAGGCGGTGTGGAAGCAAGGGAGGGAAGTGGGTTTAGCTGGGGTAGGGAGAAGTGTGGTGGGAATGCAGACAACTGTAATTGAACAACAATAAAATAATTTAAAAAAGGAAAAATGCATTACTCAAAAATAACATTTCATAACTACAGATGGGCAGGTGAGCTAGTTAATAGAAAATTATACTTTTATAAACACATCTAATTTTTAGAAATGAAGACATGGAGTCAAGAAATACAACATTTAGAGGAATTCTGAGATAATCTTTGCTAAAGGCAAGAAGTGTTCCTAAGCTAAGACTTTTTTTTTTGACAATGTGGTTTGCTGAAGGTAGGGTATAAGGAAATGCCCTGTGTGCCCCTCCTCCACTACATTGCAGAGATTGTTTCAGCCTATGGAAGGGGACAAGTTCAGACCAGGCAAAAGAATCCAGGCTATATCATTGGGATCTCTTGTTGCGAGGCTTCCTTGGAGGCTAACAGCTTCCTGACTCAATAGGGATTAGCCACGATGCAGATTTGGAACCCTTTTCGAGGTGGAGAGGAAGGTTAGGTGTTTGACTGGAATTGGACAGATAACCTACACATTTTAAAAGTGCATATTATTTTCAATGAAAAAGGAAGCAAAGGAAAACATGGAAAATGTGTTTTGTAAACTGGCATTATGGGAATTTTTGTGGCCCAATTGGGGAAGGTCACAGCAGACCAGAAGGCAAATAGATGGTCTCCAAGCATTAGGCTCAATCCAGAAAAAAAAAATCTTGAAATAGGATACTTATTTTCCAACTTCAGCATTTCTTTTCCCTTACCATCCACAACCATCACTTTCCCTCCCCTCTTTCAAAGTGTTTTTTTTTTCTTTCTTTCATGACCTCAAACTGCATAAAAATAGCAGTAGTCCATCCAGGGTATAGGAACTTGTCAGACTGTGTTTTACTCAGAAATAACTTATCTGCCAACACTCTATATCCCATATTTATTCTGTCTCTTTCTCTTCCATTCCATTTGTTCTTAAAGTCTTGAGTACATTGTAATGTTTCTTGGTATTTTTAATAGCTAAAATTTATTGAGGGCTTGCTATATATTCTTGACTAAGTGTTTTGTGTATGTTATCTAATTTAATTTTGTCAAAAATTCTTCCAGGTTAATTCTTCCTTAATTAGCTCCATTTCATAAGCAAGGAAATTGAGGCACAGAGAGGTGAAATACCTGGTCTAAAGCCTCACAGCAAGTAATTGGAGGAGCCTGGCTTCCAACTCAGGCAGCCTGACTCTAGAGCCCACTTGTCAATGACTGTTAAAGGCCCAGTGAATATTTTGAGACTGTGTGAAGAGGAGCCAAATTCCAAAAAGCTTCAGGGTAAGTGAGATCAAATGACATTAGCTAGGCCCCTAAGCTATCCAGTTCCTTTTTACCACTTTCAACCTTCAAGCCCTGTTAACAGAAATAACAAGAGCTTTATAAAAAGAAATGGAACCCAGTTATAGCCCAAGTGTAGGCAGTGACCTGCCTGAGCAGAGATTACCAAGTGGATCACCTCACAGGGAAAAATGGATTTCAAGCTGAAAAATCTTCCAAAGAAAAATATCAATTTTCAATGCTTTAAAGTAATTAAAATCCATTCCCATTCCTTTCAGAGAGGCTTATTTATTATTTATTTATTTATTTATTTATTTATTTATTTATTGGCTGAGAACAAACCTTAATTGAGTGAAGACTTGAAGGATGTTGTGTTTTTAAAGATTGTGCTTAGCAGACCTGAGATGTTAAATGGCAAGGCTACAGCCAGTTATCTCAGTTAGTAGATCTACTATAGACATGGTGCCAAGGGTACAGGCTTGATCCTCCAGAGGTCCAATGTGCATCTCTCCACATATTTGTCTTTGATAACACCTCCCCTCTGTACATCCAGTCACCTTTTCTTGCAAAATCAACTCTAAAATCAGTACTCATGTCTCTGTATACAAAGAACTGTATATTCATTTCTTGTATAAATTACTAATCACCATAATATGGAGAAATTATAATGTAAGAGCATGTGTATGCTATGAAAAATATAGATTCAGAAGATGCTAGGTTCCTTTTTCTTATTTTTTATTTACACATTTATGATTGGCAATATATATTTTAGACATTTTACAAATGAATCTCAATAGTCCTTCATTAAATATTTATTAAACACTTATACAAACAAAAAGTTCTTTCATTTATTGGTTTTCCTCTACCTTGATACCTCATGTTTAAATATGAGTACAGTCTCATGCAAACTTCTATTAGGGCAAGTTTGCTGTCTGCATTCTTGTTCTTGAGCATGAATAGTGAAATAAGGTTATATAGCAATCTTATTGAAAATATATTTTTGCACATTTGTGATTGAAACCACTCCAGGTCCAATATCTCCCATTGCATCTGTGAGGGACTAGGGAAGCTTATCTCAAAGACACTCAGGAAGTTCTTGTTGAGGGAGGAACTTCCTTTGGGAACCAATGAGCTACAGGACCTTTTTAAGGTTTTCTTTATTATTTATGGAGACACCTTTGCAACTGTAAGATTTCTACCATAGTCCCCAAAACTCTAGCCACCAGTTATTTCATTTTTTTTTACATGCCACTCTTCTGGGGACAAAACAAGCTGCCTTATGTTTCTCAAACTAAAGGTCGTGAAGTGTGCCTTCTGACCATAGTTTGCAAAGCTTCTGTCACTTGTTATGGAATGTTCTTAAGCTCAGCATGATTTAAACTATGCTTGTTTCTAAAATGGGGTCTGGGAAATCTGATCTTAGTTGAACACAGGTTTCATGTTGCTACTGAAACCTGGAATGCTATTCTATAAAAAGATAGTTTCATTTCCATTTTTATTTTTTATTTTTCTATTATTACAAATTTTTATTGTTTTTCAAGTACAGTTTTCTGTCTTTTCCCCCAACCCCTCACCACCACCCCAGCCCTCCCCACCT